CCTGTTCATCATTTATAAGAAATTATCAAATCTAACCTCATTACTGTTACTTCTTCCCTATACTGTTATTTTAAAAATAAAGTTTCAATTCCTAACATAAAATAGTAGGGAAAGAAAATAAAAATGTTTAATTTAATAAAATTCTGTTTGTTGAGATTATTTTTCATAACAGGAAGATGGCACAGCTGTAATATACATAACTCTGTTCACTAGATATCCACCAATTTGTCTGGTTTGTTTACAGACATATTCTTGCCCTGACAGCTGTTCAGCCACTTCTTGACATTGTTTTGCAATGTTAGATATTCCACAAAAGATTACAAAATATGCCACCCAAATTCTTTATACCACAGGAGATTATATTCTTTTTCCTCAAACAATATCCCAGTTCTATAGTTCATTTCCATCTTGAAAAATGTGATTTTCAGTGCTATCTGCAAACTTGCAGCTTGGGTGTGGTAATCTTCTTCTTCACTTCCAAACTGAAGACCCGTTACAGGTAAGGTCTTATATCTCTGCAGATTATATTGATCAACAAACCTTTTATCTGAGAGGACATCTTGTCTAGTGAACACCTTCGTCATAAGCAGTACCGCATCATAAGCAGTCAGAAAATCTAAGTGATTTTCCAGTTGCTTCATTCTTCTGAAAATTTTGGGAAGAATTTAAACATAATAAGAAGTATATACTTTATCTTACATCACCAGAGTTAGTGAAAAATCCCTAGAAAGCAATTTTTGTGTCTTAGGAATGGCACTCCCCAATTTAGTACCTTCTCCATCCCCCAGACAAAACTTACTGAATGCAGGCACCACCTGCTTGCTTGCTACCCCATGCCCTCCCACTTCCATTCAGGGGATGGATTTCAGAACTGGAGGCACAAAAAGATGAAATTTACAGGCTGAGATAGGAACAATTTACAGGAAAAAGCAATGAGATAAGAAAATGAACAGTAACACCAACAACATTAATAACAAAAGCTATAAGACAAAGAAACCATTTACACAGAAAAATTGCAACAAAATACCAACCTTCCCCCCAATATGCCAGTCCCTTACTTCTGCCCCTTATGAGTGCAAGATAGTATTGAATAATATGATGCCCCTCCTGGCTACTACAAAAATATTAACCCTGTCCTGCCCAAAACTAGTTCACCAACACAGCTGTTTACTTTTCCAGACAGCATAAGACTGAATTTAAAACTAGGTACAAGCCTAGGAATGGAATACTTAGGCAGCTGAAGGAGGTTACACTACAGCCCCTGATCAGAGTGACTAATTATATTCAAAAATATTTTATTTTGCCTTTTTCTGTAGTTATACTTTGGGTTCATTTATTTGCAATGTTCTATGTTACAATTATTTTGCCTCCATAGCCCATGATGAAATGTCAAATTAGATGATACTGTAAACTGGCAGAATATTTAACAGCCATGAAGAAGATTTTCTTCACCCTCTTCTGGCTTCTATATGTAAATGTCTCCTTGTCTCCTTCAACACAATCTAGGCTATTTTAGGGGTTCTTTACCTCTGAACATGCTTTCAAATCTCATTATGCAAATGTAGTATGTGACACATAAGCAAAAAAAATATATTCAAGTTATTAAATGCAAAACCTGAATTATTTTCAAATAGGAGTTAGATACCTAGTAATAGAAATTAGAACTGTTAACTGAGAATCAATTTTCCAGCTGTCAGTTTAAACAACAACAATGAAAGTTTTTTAATCAATTCAGTTGGCTACCTGATGTTTCTTTCAACAAGACGCATTCTTCCCATGACAGGTTATTGGGAGGAGGCATGACAAACCCCATATACATGAGTATAATGTAACGGGAAATATTCTGCCAGCAGCAGCCCCTGGAAGATCCAGCGCTGATGCCCTGCAAAGGGGTCAAGCAGGAAATAGAAGGTAACCAGTGCTGAGTGAGAAGAGGAAATGGGGGAACTGTAGTCACAGTGAGCAGAAAAAAAACAGATGGTGCCAGTAGGCTGTATGATTGTTAATTTCGGTTTGTAATTACAACTGGCAATCATTTTGAACCACTACTGCTTTTTTAAATTATTCCACTTTGATTGCAATTACCAGCCAAAATCAACAACCCTCTCAGAGTTTTCTGATGAAATGGTTAAACTCCCAAATGTTTACACCTAGACCTTACAAACCTGCAATTTAACAGGAAAACTTATTAAAAAGAAAACTTTTTGGATCACAAGTTGTATGCCAATATATTCATCGCCTAGAACCATGAGAGTAAGACGATTACAGTGAGGACAGTTGAAACTTTCTTTTGGAAGTTAAATTACAGTCGGCAAAGGCAACACTCACCAAAGTGCAAACAATTTCATGCACTGTTTTGCTGTAGAGCATAGTTTAAGGCAAATGAGTGTCTCAAGATGAACTAAAGCCTGAGGTTTTCCAAAGCAGTGACATTTTTTGAAAGTATCGTGTTGACTCCTATCTCACTGGAAACCGTGCCATGTATACAATAAAACTCATCAAATTTCTTAAGCATTTGCAAGTAGGGCAGGGGTCTTTTGAAGTCTACCTACTAGGCTCAGCCAACACCACAGGCTCACACAGGATGCAAAAAATCCATTTTGAACATGTTAGAGGTGGTTGTGAGCACATAAGTGGAAATGAAGTCAAATTAATCTCTTTTATTTTGCTAAATAACATCTTTTACCTCATAGTTGCTCTTAAAAAATAATCTCATCTTGAAAGGAAAACAAGAACAGACTTGGCAAAAAAGTTATGGAAAACCCTACTGAAATTACCTCAGAATACATCTAATCCTTCTCCTCACTGAACTATACCAAAGCCATGCCTGACAGACAAGTTCTACACATGGAGATTCCACAGTCTTTCACATATTGTGCTAAAGCTTACCTGTCTTTGTTCTCATCACAACATTCCTAACTTTCAGTGGGAATTCTCATTACACCAGTTAAAGCCTGTTGTTTCTCAATCTATCAGTAGAATGTGAAAGGAACAGTTTTCCACCCTCCTTTAAGTTGTGCAAAGACTGTTATGTTTCCTGCTAATGTTCTTCTTTCTCTACTTAACCGTCCCAATTTCTTAAGCCTTTCTTCATAAATCATATTTTCTGCTCCTACAGTTGTTGTTTTCAGCAATCTCTCCAGTTGAGCAAGGTGTTTTTTAAAAGTTAGTACTCAAAACTGGGCATAATATTCCAAACGAACCTTTACCTAAACTTAGTAGACCAGAAGATGATTTCAAATACCCTGCAGGTAATAGTCTTGTATAACTAACCTATTAACTTACAACAGAATTACTTTTTTTCTTATCCTGTTCAGTAGGTGATTCATTGTGATGGGAGATTCAGCCTAACTTCTTATTCTCCAGTGAGGAGGACACTCAATTATCCAGCCTCTTATTCTCTCTCTGTGGATGTAAGAAGATTATTCCTGTCCAAGCATAATATCTTGAAATTCTTCTTGTTGAACTGCTGCTTTAGACTGCATCTTTAATGTGTCAAACTTTCTCAAGACTAATCCTGTCCTATAGTATGCTCCTTAAATCTTAATATCATATGAAAGTTCACGAAAAATACTCAAAAGTGATAGTGAGCTTTTAAAAACTTTTTAAATACAGTCTTATTATAATTAAATCTATAGAGTGCTTTCTTAGCTAGTTTATGAAATGTCATGAGAGATAAAATCAGAATTTGTCAGGAGAAAGCAGCATGACATAGCCTGTTTCTTTCCTATCTATAAGGGTACTTATTATTTCGTTCCAGAAGGAAATTAGACTGATATAACCTGATTTTGGAAAATCTATAATGACTGTTAATTCATCTCCTCATCACCCTCTAGATCTTTAAAGATACTTTGAATATTTGTTCCAGTATTACTGCAGAAACTGAAGCCTAGCAGACTAAAGCATTAATTCAAACAGCTGGTGTAAGAAGTACAAGGTACGTCGGTACTTTCAAGCGCAATTCTGGTCAGCTGGAGTGAGTAGGTGCACATCAGCCTGACTTGCAGCAGCCACAGGCATTTAGGGGTTGTAGTGGAGCTCATGGTGCTTGTGGTTGTAAATGTTCACAAGTGGAATGAGAGCTGGGATCATGTCACATGCCAAGAAGAGCCCCCATAAAAACACCAGAAGAGCAGACTGCACTCTAATGTATGCCACAACATCGTCTCCCTTCTTCTTCTCATGTGCACACTGGAGTAAAATGTAGGCTGAAAAGTGGGATAATGATAATTCAGTGGCTTACTGCACCTTGTGAGACATGCCACCCTGTCATACCTATCTGCAGTTGCCCTTGCTGCACCTGCTGATGACTGTCAGCCTGCCTTTGCCCAAAGCCCCAGGCAGGCCTAGAGGAGGACCAAATGGCCCTTTCGCCCTCTATTTTCTTCTCAGTTGCTCGGTCTGTAATGAAATCTCTCTCTCCACCATGCCTCTCCCTTTCTCTGAGCAGTGCAATTGGAGCTGTTTCAGGGCAGCTAGTCCTTTCTTTGCTCTGATTGAATAATAATGAAAGGATGGGAAACAAAGACTAACAGCTTTTGAGATTAATCCCTCTTCTGTTCTCAGCTGTCAGACTTACTTATTTTTTCCTTTTTTCAGCTAAATCAGGTCATTATACTACAAATCTTTACCCTGAATGAAAGATTAAACTCAGGTATTTTATTTTCATCAGGGCATAATATTCAGCACAGAATAATTGGCTAGAGTTTCATCTGGCTATTTGTATGGGGCCTCCTATCAAATTCCACTAAAACCTGACTGACTCTTTCCAATTTTTGGAATTCCTTAGGATTTTACTGTAGTAGACTCCTAGCAAATGGAACCTTTCACTCAATTATACGTATCTCTGCATCTGAGATGTCATGTTTTCATGAAACCTCTTTAAAAAAACAAGAAAATTAAGAGGCCTTTAGGGTTACCTTGTAATAAAAACAGTAAAAGAAAAGAAAAAAATCTATACGCTAAGTGTTTGTCCTTGACATAATATATTTTTTTTTCTACAATGAGAAGGAAAACAAGAGGAAGGAAAAAAAAGAATCAGTAAACAAGAAAAGGTTTTCAGACTACATTTAACTGCTTTGAAGCCAATAAACTTACCACAGTTAAATCAGAAGGCCAACAAGGCAATACGGTCATCAAAACCAAGGCTCATTGAGCCAGTGTGTTTGGACAGATGCCATTTCCATTTTGTCAGTACGAAGAGTACTGTATTGAACAGAGAGAACAGAGCTCGTGCTGACATAAAATTAAAACCAAAAAACATCACTTCTACTGTGGTGATCTCACAAGGAGCAGGCAAGTTTGCTATACATTAGTAAACTCTCTGGTGTGACTATTGAATCTACCTTGATGTTTCTTACTTTACTGATTCCTTTATTGATAGTGTCTTTTTAAAAAAGACATTATCACACAGGGAATGTATTTTCTCAACTGAGAAAAACTGGCTTTATGCCACTTCTTCTCTACCCAAAATTGACCCAAGAGTAGCTTTGGGATTTAGTTTAAACAGAGGGAGACAAAGCATGACAAAAGCATAGGGCATAACAACCCAACATGGGCCTCTGACAACAAAGAAATTTTTCCTGCTGCAACAAATCAGAATATTTCTAGACTTAGTCTGTCCATGTTTTGCTTTGTTTTCTCTTTAAAAATATTCTCAATTTAGAAGTAAAATACTACTATAAAATTCTCCTCCAAAGCTAATAAAAGACAACAGGACTGACTGAGGTTTGGAGCCCCTGAAAAGTTATGCTTTATATTAATGCCTAAAAATATTTATGAAGCATTTCAGGTTATTTCTCCCAGAAGTATCACATTTTCATGATATAAAGGTCATGGGAAGAGTTCATATCAGAATAGGTACTGCAAAGGCTATTTTGTTGATTCCTTTGCTCTTATGAATGGATAGCATTTCAGACACATTTTTAGTATATGCAGTGCAAAACTAAGTTTAGTCCTTGTGCTCTATGATACAAGCAGTCCATTGACTTTGGGCAGGAGAATCCTAATGAGAATTGCCAGAAATACTGCTTGGATCAGCAGTGGCACTATCAAGTTTGAAAGGTACAAGGCAAGCAGTGTCCTCTGAACATGGAAATTTATAACTCACCTCTTCTTCAGGTTACTCATGTCTTGTCTGATTAATATCCTTCTGGGTTTTTTTTCAGTTTCCTCCTTTGTTTGAGCTTAGTTTCTCTTGCATGTACCACTGCTGGGAAGTAAAATATTCTATCATGAGAAACATGCAACTAGGAAATACAACAAGCATGATGTCCCAATGACAGCAATGGCAAAGGTTTGCTCAAAGGATGATGCTGAGCAGGGGCTGGAGATTCAACCATGGTGCTTCAAAGTCACTGCTCAGGTTGGATTTGGGAAAGCCTTCCACATGGCCTACCAGCAGGCATGATCCTAAAAAGACAAAAGAGATTTTACATCCAAAGAAATGAGAGCCTTTATCAACAGTGAGTGAGTGAACCACAGAGAGGAATAAGTGAGGAAACAAGGATGGGGTCCTGAGCAGCTGGGTCTAGTGGAAGGTGTCCCTGCCCATGGCAGGGGGATTGGAACAAGATGATCTTTAAGGTCCCTTTCAAGCCAAATTATTCTATAATTTGACATTACTCTGAGCTAGCTAAAAGCCACCCAAGATGTCCCAAACCTAAATAAACACACTTAGAGCAAGAGCAGGTTGCCCTATTTACATCCTGTAAGCATATCTAGGGACAGTTCTGACAGATTTCAATGCAATTGCAGTTTCAAATGTACCCTAGAGAGCACTATATTGCAGTGATATTAACAGCCCACCGAGCTCTGAAATCTCATAGAAACCTGTGGGGTGTGTAGACCTAACAAACTTCCTTGCCTTTGAACATTTCAGGCAGGCAGGAAAACATGATGCCACTATCAAAAATGCCAAATCAAATTTAAACACTACTGAAAACTTCATAAAAGTCAGTGAAGAAATCCTTCCTCTGTTTACTATTAATGGTTGTAAGATAACTTTTATTTATAGTGCCTTGGGAACTTATTCAATAGGATGTAGGGACACTGATGAGAAGGATTATTTATTGTTTATACAGTTGCTTAAAGATGAAGGCACTGCATAAATACTCTGGAAAGTAAAATTCCATGAAAAAAGCTTTTCATAATGCATCAAAATACTTCTTGCATTAAAGTTATTCTGGATTCACTCTTTGCATCACAAGCCACATTTGCAATGCTCAGAAGGCTTGATTGTATCCTTTATCACACAGTATCTGATATGCCGTCAGTGTAAGAAAATCATAGTTTCTATCTGGTATTCATGTAGTGCCAATAATCTGCTAGGCATATTGACATCTTTTGAAAAACCAAGGAAACTGTGGGCTTGTTTGACAGAATTTTAAAAAGAAAGTTTCAAAAAATACGTTAATGGGCCATAGAACTTGCATTCAGAAGTGATAAAATGGTATGATAAGGACTACATGTGCAATAAAACCTTCCTATTTTGTGTAAGCACATTAAAATATACCATGTTATTACTATGTTGTGCATAAGCTCAGAAATATCTTGAGTAATGAAAGACACATTTTTGTTCATAATTTCCAAAACAAATGTAAAAAGAAACTTTATGCACCCAAGTGGTAGGTCTGACAATACCGAACACAGTGCGAAGCGCCTGGTTATCACCCTCAACTCTTACCCTTTCACTCTTGTTACTAGTACCCCAAGCAAATATATTGATCACAGGATAGTTTCCACCACTTCTGTCCTCACTTTACACCAAGACCACCAACAATAATGATTTAGTGATCAGTTAGACTGAATAGTTTGAACTATTCATATGACCTGTCACAGAACAATTCATGCCAGAAACCACTCACACTGGAAGGACCTGCTGTTTGGCCCATGAGCCCTTTTGGCTTGTGTTCTGTGAAAATTTGACTTATTTAGTTCCCTTATGTCTACTGAATATGAATTTTTATATATTTGAAGACTGTTTTACCAAAAACAACTGAAATAATTCTCTATCATGTTTCTTTTTCCTCTAAGCTCCAGGTCCCAGGGTCCAACTTTTCCCAGAGGTAATGTGGGGTCTAATCTAGTTTTCAATGAATCAACAACCTTTAATTAGTAGAGCATCTCTAGGGGTTGATTTTAAACACCTAAAATAAATCTGTCATAGGAGGTACCCATTCATTTGTGTCCACTGCAGAGCTGGCTGCTCAGACCTGACTTCTGGTGTCCAGCATCAGAGAAACTGAGTGCTGAACTAAGCTACAGCAGTACTTAGCCCATAATCTATTACTGTTCCAGAAACTAAAAGTTTGGGTACCTGAAATGCTGTCTTTCTGAAGCTAGTAAATTAATCATAGAGTGTAGGAGTTGCTATGGATCTTAAAGATCAACTAGTCCCAACCTCAATGCCATGTGCAGGGACATTTCCCACTTGACCAGGTTGCTCAAGGCTGTGGCTGGGACTAGGGTTGGGACATCTGCAACCTCCCTGGGTTCAGAGAGGTTTAGACCTGTTCCAGTGTCTAAACACACCTCACAGTGAAAATTTTGTATCTTATTTATAATGGAGGATTGGGAGAAAAAATGTCTTTTTCTTGTGGGAGTCATGGGAACAGAACAAAGAGCTTTTTCGGCATTTTCTGCAGAAAGCAATTCTCAGTGATATAATGCCTCAGAAATTTTTTGTATGCTGAAAAAGATTTTCTGTTAAACTTTTCTGGGCAAATCCATCGGGGGTGTATTAAGACAAATCTAGTTATACTGATCTATTACTTCTGTCTGAGCACTTAGTTTTCTTCAATTTAAAAACAACATAAGGGAGTAGGAAAATCTTTAAGCAATGAGACATGACATACTATACCATGCTGTACTGTTGATTAATGTGTATCCCAGGTGGATGGGGAGCAAGATAAGTGCCTACGCCATATGTGGTGAGTGCATTAATCAATATTAACGTGTATTAACAGGTACAGAGAGGGGGTACTGAAGAAAAGCTGGTTTTGGAGCACAATCCTGCTGTGATGGCAATGGGGGATTGAATCTTGTTGACATAAGGAGTCAGCCTGACCTTTGAGACTGTGATCTTAGAAAAGCACATGCATTTGATGGACTCCACACCACAGAATGTTGCAGAAGCTAAATGCTTACGTGGATCCAAGGAGAGGCAGGGCAAGTTCATGGATCAGAAATTTTTTCAGGCTGTAAATTCAAAGAAACATCTCCAGGTCAGGAAATCTCTGAGCTGCAAATTATTGGAAGCAGGGAGAGTGCCTATGGAAGGATCACATATAGTTCAGCCTGTTTTTATCCTCTTTCCTAGATACCTCCTTTTGATGGCCATCAGGGACTGGGCAAATAGTTAGAAACCCATGTGGTACAACCCCATTCAGTGTCTTATAATCTGGTGGTTTATGCCCTAAATTTACAGCATACAATTTGTCCTTATTAAGTCTGCGCAAGTTGTTCGACGTTCAGATTGGAGCAGTGTGTGCAGCTGCATCCAAAACTCCACTGATCCACTGAACAGCATCAAGACTCAGGTAACTGCCCCACTGCAAACACTGGCAGGAATTCAGCGATGTCTTCTACCGCAGAGAGCTGGTACCACCAAACATGTGCCACCAGTGATGCAGCATCTCCCTTGTCAAATCTCTGGTGAGGCACCATGACATGAGAGATACTGCCTGCCTGAAGGTAGAAAACCAGCCAAGAGACATAAGTCAGTGCAGTACAGGACACTTCAAGAACCCCACAGCACCACTGCTCCACACACAGGACTGAGCTGGGATTTTCAGGAATGAGGCAGCAGCTCTTGCTCTCTGTTGAGTTCAGAAACATCCCCATTTTCCACCCTCCCAGACAGAGACCTTACAACAAAACTGCCACGTTAGGGAAACCAAAGAAACAACAATAACATATTGCTTATTGGAGCATATTGACATGCCCCACAGCAGTCTCATTATGACTGTTAAACTTTCACCTAAAATACCAAAATTAACGTCTTTTTTATTTATGGCTTTCTCTCTACCAGCACAGGAACCTGAGTAGTTCAACAGTCAAACAATGCTGTCAACTGCCTACTTTCAAATTAAATTAAGCTTCTCTAATGTTTCTAATTTAATGTATTAATGCACATGACAAAGGCAAAGATTTTGGGTTGGCTTTTGTCTGATTCATGTAGTCCTGTGTTTCAAAATCTTTTTTGAGATGTTGAGGTGGCTTTAAAATTATAATTTCAACTGGTCCGTTAACTAATATATTTGAATGCTGATCCTTTTCCATCACTATAATTTTGACTTTAAAGAACCTTGTATTTTAAAGGTGAAGAATTCTAAAAACTGTACATGGCAGTAAAATATCTCAGCTATGTTTCATCCTTTGTCTCCATTCTAGACAATATGAGGGAACGTCTGTAGCTTACATCCAGCTATTAGGATCTGTCCCTGTGTTGATCAATAAAGACCTCACGACTTTACTCTACACTTCAGTTCCAAGCCTTAACTTCCCAGTAGACAGCCTGTAATTTCAGCAAGGGAAGAGAGCACCTGCAGGTGTTGAATTAATGCACCATGAAAGCAGAACTCTGCTGTGTTGCAATGGAGTTAAAATCAGTCTTCAATGCTATTGCTGGCAGTATTCAGCTCCCAGTATATTTCTGACTTTGGATACATAGGCTACCCAGTAATTTTGTCACATCTTGAAAATAGAGCAGAGATAAAAATCCATTAGAGTCTTACAGCCATAGGTCATATTCACCATTTGCTAACACGCTATTGTGTTGTGAAAGGAGCCTGCCTCTCCAGTCTCACCACAGAAAGTTTCTTTTGTCTTACTAAAACTCTCAGAAAGAAACACAAAACCAAAAATAGTCACTGATTTCTTATGAAAGTAATGTAAATTGTCATGTTAACCAGAACTACTTTCTCAGTAAAGGTAAAACTTTGGGAAAAAATATATTTTGAAAGAAAAGTTTTTTTATTTTTTTTAATCAGAGATGAAACATTGTACTGAGTATTTTCAATGCCACTGATCCCACTAACTTTGGATGAGAAAATTAACACAGGCAGTGAAGAAAAGCCATCATCAATGCAGCTGTTTTTTAAGCAGACACCTGCTCAGCTATTCCTTTGTGGGTCACATCTAGTTGCCAGTCCATATGTGTGACATTTCTGAGGCCAGATTGCAGCTTCATCTCCCAGTACCTCAGTAAAGCTGAGAAAATTTAGATGTCTCACTAAGGCCATGTTGACACCTGTCTCTGCTCCTAACCTGTACCACTGAGCCACCCCATGGGGAGAAAGAGGAAAACCTTCAGTGCTGAGGTGGAGATGAAGACGTCTGCTCAGTATTTTGAGTACAGCTGCTCTGTTCCCCAGAGCAAGTTTGCAAGTCCTGAGTAGAGCTAGTCATCAAGGTGAGGTGATGTAGGCAGCTGCCTCAGGCAGCAGGCTGCCAGGTGGAAATCAGCCTTTGCTGTGACTACAGCTGAAAACATGAAGGGCAGCAGCTACTTCTGGGTGGGAGAATGAGGAGACTTATTCAAGAAATATCTACCATTCCCCTCTTTCTCTCAGCAATGACAAATAAAGCTCCCCAAGGGTCCCCCTCTCTTTTCTCCACCTTAGTTTTACTTCTCTCCTTGCTAAGAAATCTTAGATGCAAAGACACAGACTCTCCCCAGGTAACTGCTACAGATTTTGATGTCCCAGTGAGTGATACAGCTTATGCTACCTGTGACCTTCTGCAAAGCCAGGCCAGGTCAAATGTTCTAGTTAACAAATCTACTAATTTGTCAG